TGGTTATGTTAATATCCAGGCATTCAGCATTCTTTTTGTCTGTTTACCGGAATAAAATGAGTAATGATGCCATAAGTACATGCACACTAATTCAAATGTTTGATTAATTCAATGACTATAAAACATGCCTAAATAACCACGATTCGCCCTCTCGATGGGTCAACAACAATCACGCTTTGTCAGTAAAATTCAAATATAAAATAGCATCAGCATCATGATGGACTTGTTTCCAAACCTAGTCATGTACAAAAGATATTTCATACATCTTCGATTTCTGCTAACATCACGTGATTGCAATATCTTGAAACGATGAGAAATTGATAATGAATGATTGGCAAGCTTCATTTTGATCTCAGTCTCGTGCTAAGGCTCCACCATTTAGCCATAGTCAAGTTTATCTTTTCCATCCAGTGAAAAATAACATACGGGATTGAGAAAAATAACATTCAACAGACATTTTACTGGGGAAGGGAAGCCGCGGGGAACCAAAACTGGTTATCGAGCAGCGACACCCCATTGGTACCTATATATTGCCGCGTATAAATATCGTTTGACGTAACAAAAAACAATGCTCGATTATTTAGACACAAAAATCCATCGACTAACCGCAGTATACTGGCGACCTGTGCCACTTACGATGAAATGTAGCTGAGCAGCGCGTGTCGTAACCTAAGTTATCGAAGTATCGAATAAACACGCAAATATTTAGAAATTCACATTTTATTACTGGCAATTACAGAAAGAAATATTATAACATGTCAAAAATTTAACATCAAAGCCCAAACAAAAGTTATGCATTTGTTTATTCAATCCTTCGAAAGAGAACATTGGTCAGATGTAACATTAGAGAGTCATTCAGAAAGTATTAGAAGAAGGGGATTCCAGATTTACATTTATTCAATTTGGATATTTACATTCCATCCACGGTTTTTCAATGTGTTATTTGAATAAAACCTGCTTTCACCTCACTATAGTTAATTGTAGCTCATTGTTAGCTAGGTATTTTTAGGCGGGGCTTAAGACTTGACAAATTCTAAGCGGAAGGCGCGGCTTAAAAAGTTTAAAAACCACTGGTTTAAAAGATTTTCAAGCCCAAAAAATTCAAATTGAATTTTTTCATATTTGATCAGATTAGTTACAGAACCATAATTTCCAGTATGTGTTAATTTAAAGATTCTATATTGCTGCATCGAGATACCGGTAACTTTTTAGAACTCAAGCTTGGATAATGATGTCAAATTTCTGACAAAAAAGCACGAAATGATAAAAACTTGAAAACGAAACTATATGACTATATGAGCAAGTTAAACACAAAGGAAAGATAATATATTCACCATGTTGGTCCGAACGGACTTTTCATCATTTTGCTTTATTTTTTCTTCAAGTCCAATCACAAAAAATCTGCCTGCTCCATATATTATTTTAGTTTCATAAGCTTTTTATTATTAAATGTGGCGAACAAAATAATTGTCTGTTACAATGTGTTGGGTATGAGATTAATTAACCAGTTATTTGTCTCAGATGCATGGACTTGAATGTACATCATTTCTTTGTCTAGTTTATATCTCCTATATAAAAGTCGACTTCATGTATGACATATACTGTAACACCGTGTACCTTGCACACTAATATAAACAAACAAAAAATGAACAGCTTAATATATGACAGATTTTACCCAAACAAATTATAGAGTATTATGTCCATATAGAAAATTTGAGCAGTTGTGGTGGCCTTGAGCATTTATTAAATTGTTTTTCTACATTCAATAATAACATGATAATAATAATAGTCCCAGTATGACGCTGAGCGAGATATTCGGGTATTTGTGAGTGTGTTGAATCACATGGATTAACATGAGTGAGAAAAAACCTGCCAGAGCATCGCTTAGAAAAGAAGTACAGCTGTCTACGGTGGCTTTATAAGTGAAGTGCGGTTGATTGTCAGGCAGAGATTGTTTTGTAATAATAAGTACCATTCAAGCATGAAATAATGAGAAATGGAAAATAAAATCTATGAAAGGTGAAAGGTCATAAAACTTGAATCATTGAATTTTTCCAGGAAAATTTGATAAACCAGAAACTACTGTAGAATTGAGTATTTTTAGTTTCAACAAATTATACTTAGGTTTGTCCAGAAAGATATGGAGTAAAAAGTTAATTGATTTTCAATATTAGTCAGAATTTTCAGCGAAACTTGGAAAAATTTACAGTTCTAGGTGATACAGGTCTTGCTTCACACTAACACAAATATACTTCTGTCACATTTCGTCTGATTAAGATCAGGCTTAATCTGACACAACTATATTTAAATAGATGAAATATATTTGTTTTAGTGTGCAGAAGGACTCTTGAATCACAAAGAATAGTTATATTTATTCTTTTTACAGCATCTTTGCATTATATGCATACAGCTACACCAATGCAAAAGCATAGATAATAGATAAGTTGTTGGTCCCTCGAAGAGCCAAACCCATAAAAACCTACATTATTTGACGATAAATGTACCTCATATGCTAGAACCACCTGGTAACATGTGCAGAGGGTGCATATTTAAAATAAAATAAAGGTTATACAGGAAAACAAAGCTATATACACGCTAAAACCTAAGAATGAAAATTTGAAAAATTCGAGCAGAAAGAAATGATGCTTAACAAAAATTATTTAATCTGGATTTAGGGTCCAAAATTCGTGAGATGATATTATTGTGAAAATGTAAAACTCAGCCCAAAATAAAAATTCCAATAACTTTGTGCACATAGAAATGATGCCTAGGGAACAATTTATCTAATCTGGAATTAGGTTCCCCTGGAAATGTTGTAAAAATGTAAAACTCAGCCCAAAAATAAAAATTCCAATAACTTTGTGCACATAGAAATGATGCCTAGGGAACAATTTATCTAATCTGGAATTAGGTTCCCCTGGAAATGTTGTAAAAATGTAAAACGCAGCCCAAAAATGAAAATTTCAATAACTTGCGGGAAGAAATGATGCTTATCTAGTCTAGTATTAGGGTCCAAAATTTATGAAATTTTAAGACAGAAAATGTTAAAAAAATATAAAACATAGCTTACTATACTATTACTCCATTATTTAGGACATTTTGGGCGCTCATTTCATGACTTTTGCTCAAAACAAGATCTTGTAGAGCCCATCCACTTATATGTAAAGAGCTAATATTTTTGAAAAAAACGGCATCTTTTCACTTCGTAATCGCCTACCAAATTTACGCTCTGGGTGAGGTGGTGGGAAAGGGATTTGAACCCGAGATGCTATGTAACAAATTCATTTCAATTTTTCAACTTGAAATTCATAAGTTAAGATGATTAAAATTCATTTTTTGCTTTAAATTTTATGCACAATTGCAAAATTCATCTGAAAATATGTCATTGCAAATTCATTAAAAACAGTACTAAGCAAAATCAAGGAGACCATAGTCAATAGTGGGTAACTCATTACAGAATTATATTACAAAAACAGGTTAAAATTACATTAGTATGACGTACCATGATGCTGCCACTTTATATGAAAAGTTTTCAAGAGACTACATAAAACACTCAAGTTAAAAATGAAACTTAAAATCAGAAACAAAAAAAAATTGAAAATAGAAATTAAAAGTGTTTGTACAAGTTGGACTGTGTAGTTTTTTCAGGATCTCAGCTTGTAGCCAAAAACAAAGAAAAAGACAGTTTTACTTGAAAATGCTTTGGGCATTTGATAAATGTGTGGTGCAAAATTACAAATAATCATCATTTCCTTTAATTAATGTGTAAATTCCCCTAATTTCTAGCCTTTTTGAAGTTTTCTCATTTGAAATGTCACTCACCATCCAGTCACAAATCGCAAAAATAGGAGTTTAATAGAACACAGAGCAAATAAATTCATTCAACAATCCTTATCAAAGCATAATTCATTCAAAATGTGCCGGCAGTAATGTGTCATAACAAAGGAGTCAAGCCATAGTAGTTAGGGCCTAGTATGAAATTCATTATAATATATGAGTTTTTGAAAAGTTACTTCCCGTTTGAAGTCATTCAATTCCATAAATTTGTTATCCGTAATTTACAACTGTGAAACCAAAAATTGCATTAATTCCATAATATAGAGATTGTCCTATTTCAAAAAATTCATTTTCATATTTCATAATGCACACATTCAAACGGCAATATAATAAACTTAAGGGAAATCCATCTAAAATTTTTATAGCCAAACTGATTTATTAGACATGTGCTAAACAATTTATATTCATTAAGATTTAAAAAAAATAGCTTTCTGACCAAATAAACCTTGCACGATATGGTTGTAACAAATTTTTGTAAAAATGTTTTTTGAAGTTATTTTGAAAAAATTTGATTAAATTCATTATCTGAATAAAGGCTGAGAATTCATTTCAAAGTTGGAGAATTGCATTAGACGAAACTGGACAGTTGTAAAATTTTTTTAACTTCTATAAATTTTTCAAAAACTAAAAATTTGAGTGAATTGATTATCTACAGTAAGTAAAGGCTGTAAATTCATTTCAAAGTTGGAGGATTCTATTAATTATATGAATTGATTTTGGCACAGCATTCAAAATATAAAAAGCACCAATCAGTTTTCACAATGATAAGATAGATATGAAATGAGAATATACAGATGTGACAGATTTGATAAAAAAATATCATTGGTATTGTACCAGTATTATTAAGTCAAGAGTGTGTCTAATTTATATATATCATCAAAATTAAGGGCTAGTCCATGAAGTCACAATTTGAACTGTTTATTGAGTACTAGTACTTGAATAATTTCAGTGTGACAAAAATATTTTTCTTGAGTGTAATCTATCTTCTTTGGGTATCGATTTGAAATTCACTCATGAACAGTGTTCCCTCTAAGGTGTGCGCGTGCACATAGCTTTCAGAGGCTGCGCACACGCATAGATTTACTGCGCACAAACCTATTTCGATGTAATGTAACAATCGGTTCTCGGTTGGCAGGTTGAGAAAGTTTGTTGTTGGCCGACCCATTACCCAGTTAGAACGCCAAAATTTCTTCATTGATTTTTGCACAAATATTAGTCATTTCCAAAAAAGTGCGCACACACCAAAATTTTCGCGCACACATACTACAAAAATTAGAGGGAACATTGCTCATGAATACAAATTGTTTCTAGTGGAATTACTTAAAGTAAAGTAACCTACTCAAAAATTAAGTTGAACCATTTATGAGCAGAAGTATGGGTGACTGCTGTAACACCAAAAGCTACAGAAACCATATAGAATTATTGTGGTGCATCATATTCCATTGAATGTTGAAATATTGTTGGTGATAAATCACTTCGTGCATAAAGTTAAAAAATATATAAAAGCCTGGGACCAGTATGGTCCACTATATGAATTGGTCCAATAAAGGAGTCTCGTACCATAATTTGACAAACAAATAAGCAAAAAAAGGACAGCCCATAACATGATCAACACAGATACTTTCTAAAATTGTCAAATCATGTTAGAAATTCATCAAAATTGACCTCCAAACATAAGGAATCGCAAGATAAGCAAAAGTATGTACAAAAACAAAACTGCAGTTATCTAAGTTGGAAAAAATTATCAAAAACCGTAAAGTAGTGGCGAAAATGTCTCGTGGTACCAATTCCCCCAGTGAAGGTAAGGCATGCATCCTGGATATTAAACTTCGATTCCATATGCATGTCTCGCACTCGATCGGGTGTACGATGGCTGGACGGGTTGTGACCTTGATGATGACCTGGAGAAATTATCATATGCGTATTTATGGAACGAGTTTCAGCGCTAGTTTATATAACGGACATATGGGGGCATAGTCAGTGGATTCGTGGGTTTTCAAGAGCCTTAGTGGTCTAAAAAGTGTTCCAAGCTACAAAAAATTGCAAATGATACACAAAATTTTTTAACAGTTTAAAAAGGGGATAGGTTCCTGACCCACAAAAACACCCCCTGGGAACGCCCTCGCTGACATGTATATATAGTACTAGGCAAACAACTATTTTAGTAAATTCCACCCATGGAAAACATTCCCCTGACAAAATTCAACCTTAATCGTATGCATTCAAGAATTTCGATCTGTAGAAAATTCCGAGAAATTCCCACAAAATCAGGGTGAAAATTTGTGAAATTTCACCTGATGGAACTTTCTGAGAGTTTACCTGGTATGGTATCCTATATAGAAGCTAGGAAGTGTTTAATCAGGTATGCGATATTGGAACACGAAACTATCTACCAGTATATCCTCGCATAAAAGCAGAGTTCAAAACTCAAAAAAGTTGCCAAACTAAGGGGCATAACTTTGATCGCACTCAAACAAAATAGCATTACGCTAACCTAAAGTTATTCAAAATAGACAAACTTTTGGCTTATCCTCTATATTAAAATGAAATTACAATTCTTACCTCTGTGGTGCTCTGGACTGAGGGGGTGGATTAGCAGGAGGGGATGATTGTGGTTTCTTAGGAGGGGCAGCTGGTCCACTTGTTGGTACGTATCGACTGAATGGCTGGTCAGTTGTTTGTATTCTTGGACCAGCATCTGAAGAACAAGTAAACTAGTTAGAATATGTTACATTTGCTAGTTGTTACAAGTTGGCCATATATTGAGCAGGTAGCCGTGGCATGTAACTGTACGGTTTTCATATTTAGTCTGGGAGTAAATACGATGGCAAGCTTATCCCTAACGTTTAGCACAGTGTGCCACCTGCAAAGCCTGTATAATCTTTTCTTACAAGAACTTACTCAGAGCCTGGTCTCGCACACTCACTCGAGAATGGAAGAGACTCATCTTTAAGCAAAGAACGAATGACCATGGAAAGTGTGATGACTGGACTCAAGATATACTCAAGACTAAGATGACCTTTGACAAGGAAAACTAGATTTTGACATGGGCATGACTCATCATGATTACACAGTATTATCCACAGAACAAATAAAAATATGCTGATAATATAGTTGCATTTAAACCTTATGCAAAGGTAATATTTCAGTGTTTACCCCATTAGATAGTACAATACACCATCGAGTACACCAAAGAGGGTTTATGGCTCTCTTTAGTCTTACATGTTTTCAAACTTTACATAACGATCACAAAAATGAGTTTTATTCAAATGCAGCAAACTTCTTTTTTCGTGTAGGTGTGTTGTGAGTTTTTTTTTCTGGTAATTTGCAGCTCGTGAACAAAAAGATTGGGAATGCTGCAATCCACATAAAAACTTACTTTTCTTGAAGCTTGGTCTTCTCGAGTATCGTTTGCTCGGACGTCGTTCAAAGTTGACAGACTTTCTTTGTCCCGTGTTGCGAGTTATTTCAAATTCAGTACGAACACTTGGACGGAATCTGCCAATAAAATCAAGAATCATGAATTCAAAAAGTTCTGTATAGTTATTTGAATAAAATTAAAGACAAAATTAGCTAGAGAGCTCATTTTGTTTTGGGAATTGACTACACCGCATATACGCTTGAATCCTCCAAGGATAATCATAAGAATCACAAAATTCAAGTAAAAGCTTTAATTCCCATTAGTGAAGTACAGCTAGCTCAGTAACACATTACGTTCCACGGTCAGTTTTTTGACTTTTACCATTGAGTGCCACAGTGAAAAGGAGAGAACTTCCATTTCATTTGATCTGAGAAGTGGCGAACCTAGTGGTGTCATCAGTTTTCGGTCACTTAGATACATCAAGTGTAGGTGAATTGCCTCATTAGTCAAATATAACAGAAAGTAATATGAGATCAGATAGCACATGATTGGAAGGATTGCAAAAACATAAATCAATTTCATCACAACTAAGTAAATTCCATTCCAACTTCACATCGAGAGACAAATACAATGATACCATACTATACAAATCAAGTTAGCAGGTCAGCGTTAGATCATACTTTTATTTCGATTTTCCTCATTTTAGTTCTATTACAAGTTCGGGGACTGTCTGTGTTAGCCACGTGTACTTTCAGTCCCTTTACACAACTTCATGTAAAGTAGGCGAACAAAATTAGTTACGATACCTCCATTTTGGTACATACACTTTTGGAGAGCCGAATTTTCATTGAATATGATTCAATTTAAAACATATTCAATATGTCAAATTATTTGGCATTATACCGGTACTTCTTCAGAATGATAAGTTATTTGATGTTAGTCATCCCCATTCAAGTTCTGTTGATAATCAATAATTCTTACCTTGACCCAAGTCTAACAATTTGTCTTCTATCCCTTGTATTAACATTTGCTTTTAATCTGAAGAATGCGTGATGTTCTACTGCACATTTCCATAGGTGTTTGCATCCTTTTGATGTGTCAAGTCGAAATACAAAATTGTGCTCTTGCTCTCTTCCCTAAGAATATGAATGATAACTTTATCTTCGTTGTTTTTTCCTTTATTTTTTTATCAGAAAATATACTCAAAACAAGGCCATGTGCACTCACATAGAAGTAAAGGATACAGATCTATGTAAAGTAAGCCATAACTACGGATGTGCCAAAAGCTAATAATATTCTATAGAATTAATTAGGGTACATTGCAGAATGGCAAATAGAAATAAGGCAAGATTTGAAGTTTTTCAAAACTATTAGGAAAACTGATTAAATGCCAATCATGAACATTTTTATGCTTAAAACATAGAGAAGTATTAGTAGAAGCAGAGCAATGGCATGACATTTTAAAGAGAGTAGGAATCTGATATGCGAATGCTATTGTTTTATCTTTCCTTTTTGTAATTAAAAATCAAAAACAAAATTACAAAGTGAAGAATTATGAGATTTTTTAAATATAGAAACTATGAATATCGGTATCCATTTACTTATGAATAACACGTTCTTATTTCAAAATGTAAAATGCATTTAGTTCAGACAAAGTTCTCTGATTACAGAATCTTTACCATCCCCCCCCTCTAACATACTCCTTCACACATCTTACACTTTCATCATCTTCAACTACTGTCAGCAACAAACGTTTGCTCTTAAAATCGAGGCGTTTAATCTTCGGCCAGAAAAATAAGCCAATCTTCTGATCTCCTTCAAATACAAGAACTCCTGTTGGAGTCAAACCAAGCGAGTAATCATTGCCATCCTTGCCCTGAAAAAAAAAAGAATATTTTAGAACAATATAAAATTTTATTTGTGCAGGTAATATTACATATAGTATGACTCAAAAAAAAAAGAACCCAGTTCATTTGGAACATATTCTGAAGAAAACATAACTTTTGTGCAGAGCGTCTTAGATTATTGAATCTTTTGAGTACAATCATACACAAACAGAAGTTCAAGTGGTAAATGAAATTTCTTCTTTTTCGTGGAGTAAAGTAATTTATGAATTTTATTTTTTTTGGGTTTATAATTTTTAAAATCCATGGTATCACTTCTTCACGCAATAATTTGAAAAAATCACAAATTTCCAACCTCGCAAATATGAGCTCATGATTTTAACATATACCGTACCTAATTCTAATATGGAACTTCGCTAGAATGCATTTTAAATTGAACTGAAATGAATAATTCACATGAAATGACTCCATAGAAAGTACTCTACAAGGAATAACCCATGGGCTCATATAAACCCGAACATGGGCTCTTGGTAAAATATGCGACATAGACACAAGAATTCAAATTTGCATTACACATTCCCCTATCGAGTACCAGATGTGGTGCCTAATTAATTATGAGCATTATGTCAGATTGAGAGAGGAGAGCTAGCAATTATGTAGACCTTAGATTAGAGAAAGATGCAAATTCAAAAACGGGTTATAACCAGGTATCGTATATTTGAATTATTTTCAAAATAAATTATATCTTTTGAAATCATTATATCTTTCCATTTTTAATGAGCAACTTTATATAAAAACACTTAATATCAACTGTGGCAGATTTATGTGAGGCAAAAACTAAAATTTCGATTTTCTTTAGGTTCTCAATGTCTAATTGTAATACCGGTAGTTTTATTTAGTGTATGAAAACTGATATTTCATTATTTAGGATGTCCATAAAACCTTCCAATTTTTCAAAATTGCAAAGGGAGTTTATCGATACCATATATTGTTTTGACTCTCACAGATGTATTAAATGAAGGAAAAATACTTAAACAATTACTGATTAAAAAACAACAAACCTAGTTAAAATATATTGCGAACAGACTTCACAACAAAATTGAAATTGTAAAGGGACTATATGGACACCTCATACATTGTGATTTCATACTTTGGATAAAATTAACTTAATTCTTTGAAACTTCTAGAAACATCTGGCAAATTGCCAGAGGCAATCTAGTGACATCAATCACAGATGACAGCAAATGTAACCGCAATCAGCTCTGGGCTAAGAATTAAACCTTTTCTTTAAAATCAAAATTGGTTTCAGCTAAAAACAAATGTAGAGACATAGATTAAAAAATCCTGTACACAAAATCCCATTGCAATTACAATTCATGATATTGAGCTTTTCAAAATTTACTTAAATTAAGACAATAGTATTATACTACAAGCACATTCAATCAATGTGAGTACTAATAAACCTTCAAAATAAGAAAAGCCAGTTGTACTTTTCCCTCAACTTTTATTTTATCAGACTTTGTTTTCCAACCATTTTAAAATAAAATGTGACACCAGGACGTAATCGGGCTTCAGGCTTATTTAAGTGCCCATGAACTAAGAACCCAACAACCACAAAGTGCCATTTGGAAATACCCATCAAATTACAGTAAATTCAATGTGATTTGTATATCTCTTTTACTATAATGTATTTAATCAATTATTTTTGTCAGTTGACAGTTAAAAATTAATAAATGTGGCAAATTAAATAACTCTTTAGAACCTAAACTTGGTTATTTAATTGAAGAGCAGCTGAGCTCGGGGTGTAAGAGTCTTTGGAAAAGGCCATGGATCCTAAAAGTTTGAGTTTGCTCTGAATCTAAAACATTTCACTAAGACAGTTTGGGAATCAGATCTGCAACAAATCATGCTCTAGTCAGACAGTGTTGAAATCACAAAATGACAACATTAACAATGAAATCTTCTTATAAAAGGTACCAAATGCATTAAACAAAGTCAGCAATTGGGATTAAATTTATACCTATCGCCATAATTCTACAGCAGAGCTAGTTATTGACATAAGAGAGTTATATGTCTAAAATGTCTTTGGAAGAAGCACTGTAAAGCAGTTTATTGACAGACAAATAGGTTCGACAAGTCGTTTCTCAATCGGATATTAAAAAAACATTCTTACAATGACAGTAGACCATACAACTTACATAAAACAATTTACAACTGTAGAGACACATTAGAAAGCTTTAGTCATTTTCTCCCTAATAAAATTTGCACTGAATTGGCGGGGATGGTATTTTTAGGACATGGGTGGAAGTTTATTTTCTGGCTGAAAATCAGGTTTCAACCACTCAGGATGACAATTCTTAAATGAAATATTCTAAGTCTTCCCCAAACCCAATTATGTAGATACATAATAAAGTGAGGCAGTCTTAACAATACATGCATCAGTTTAATATTGGGATTAAAAAAATTTCAATCGCTCCTCATCAGAAATTAGGGGACCAAACGACTTCAAATTTCCAGTACATCGTGGTGGAAGAAGTCAGTAGAATGCTATATTATTTACTCAATTTTTCATCAAGTCCCACCAAATCCTGATATTCCACCCAAAATTTATCTGTCATATGTCGTAAATGCACCTTCATTATTATTCTTTTATATTCGGTATTTTACATTCGGGAATTGCTCTCTTGATTATATTTAATTAAAATTAGATGAAGCATTGTACAAATGTGGTTCATATTTCAGTTTATAAGCAAGATACATTATCCGAAAAACACCTAAAATAATATGTGCTATACCTAATTGCTTCCATATTCATTGATTTATAAGCTCTTTTCTCCCAACTTGCTCATTCAGGTAAGCAGTATAAAGCACAATGGTTTCATTTATACAGAGCAATGTTGGTCTAGGAATGGTATCAGATTACCATGAGTTACCTAATAGGCCATCAAATCTAACATAATTCAAAAACAGATTGCTGGAATGCAGGGTATTTGGATGGAGATGAAACAAATGATACCAAAACGTTAATAGAATTTTTTTTAAGATTCGATCAACAAGTTCAATATCATGGGAAATTTGATTGAATCCTACACAAGAAAAGTATGATTTTGTGTAACATTGTATAATTGACATTTTGACATCATATGGTTTGAAACAGTAATGTTGGCCAAATGTAGGTGAACAGTTATTAAATTAATTTAGAATAATAACTTAGGCCAATCCTGTATTATCCAAGATCTCCGTGTTTCAAAAAAATCAGGCCATAACTACATTTTTATTTTCAACCTTTGGAAGCTTGAAAAAATTGAAAAATGATGGCCAAGTTATTTCACTTGTAACAGGGTTCAGTATTTACCCACTCTAGTCAGGAATATGTACTCCCGTAGTATGTGTACCAGGTTGTGGTTAGAGTATAATTTCATTCCGATTTTCCTCATTTTAGTTCTATTACGTGTTCGGGGACTGTCTGTGTTAGCCAAGTGAATATACCCCCTGCACATAGGTTTCAGTCCATTTACACAACTTGATGTAAAGTAGGCGAACAAAATTAGTTACCTCCATATTGGTGCACAAACTTCTGGAGCGCCCAGGAATATGCTCATGAAAAACGACCCAAACGGGCCCATTGAAAACGACTCTATACTATTGCTTGTCTGAGAAAATACATAATACCCATATTTCAACAAAAAACTGAATCAGTAATACTCACCTTGACAGCATGCATATCAACACCGTACATTTCTCTCCATTTTGCAATATTTAAATAATTCAGCTCTGAATCTGCTGGCGTTTGGCCTCTGTAGATAGTAATGAAAATGTATAAAGAAACATAATATACTCAGTTGGTATTTTATCAAGATAAAAAACTTTCAATACAGGCTGAGATTCCTTCTTTATACTTCTTCTTTATTGGAAATGTGGAAATACATTTTTACTTACTGGTAGTGAACACTGAATAGTCCCTTTTATTTTTTATGGCATAATTTTAGTGAGTGTGTGAAGCTGGCACCAATATAAGGTTAAAATAGTGAAATATATGAAACTTGGCATAGCCTGATCCAAAATGGAATATAATAAAGTATGAATCATATTGAGTATTACAATTGTTTTGAATATACAATAACCTGGTCTACAAAGATTAACGTCTTACACAGGATGAAAACCTGAATGGTGAATGCGCAATCGAAAATAAATTTTATGTTCATCTCAACTAGTACAGTTTGATGATGTCTGAATTTCTTGCATTATATCAAATTTAGTACAACAGCAACAAATGCAAAATGAGTATGGCAATGTAGATCTACAATTTACCCAACGTCAGACAATGTTTTAATTCAGAAACAATCGTTAGCTCAAACCTTCTGCCTAAGGCCAGACAATGATTTACGATTGAGCCCTCAGGCTTGAAGGCATCTGTAATTGATACTATTGCATAATTTACAACCTCTTGTTATGTCTATTGCAAATCAATGAAAGGAAATACAATGAGAGATTTACAAGGCATTGATCAGCCTGTGTGAAAAATAGAATAACAAAGTGTTTTATGGTTCATAGTGTCATACCTAAGTGAAATAAAATTTGAATAAACCCATTTCAGAATGTATTAATAAACAATACACAATTTGACACTTTTTTAAACTTGACATTCAGGCTTATGTAGGAAAAATTTATACCAAACAAAAAAAAAACTGCACATTCTATAGCAAGAAGGAAGAATTCTAAAGGAGGGATTCTAAAGGAAGAATTCAATATTCACGTGCTTGTTACAATTTTAAAATTTTGTTTTTTAAGTCAGTTCTCAATATATCTTAACAAGGTTTGTTTTATTTTAATCAGTATTTGTTTAAAATTTATTTGCTTCATTTATTACACCTTTATATGTACATGATTAGCTGAGCAAAGCACATCAAAGTTCTTCTACTTAATTTAATACATGACTCTATGAACACCCTGTAAAATCCTAAAATTTGAATTAATGGCAGGCAATGTGATAATACTACAAAACAAAACTAGTTAGGAACTCCAAGATAATTTTAGAGCGTAAGGTGGCCAAGTGAGGGCTGCATTGCTATTACCAATATTAATTTTGATCAACTTCTCTCTAATAATAACAAAACACTCAGAAACTAGCCATATTCTTGAAATACAGCCAAAGCAATCTCACAGACCAACCCAGGGAGAGGAAACCAATCAGACAACATAAACAGCATCAAGTCCAGTCCAGGTACAGCAATAACAAGTTTAAAAATAAGTTAATGGGCCACACACTTTTTCCCAACGAAAATGGGCCACGAAAAAAAAAGGTTGAGAACTATTGGTAACACTTTAACTACTAGGCAACTGCATCAATGACTTAGGAAATTTATTTCAATCTATTATTTCATCCATTATCGAACTATCAACAACTAACCTGCATGATTTATAAGCATCTATAACAGCAAGCTCAAAATTCTCTGTTTGGTCAGGAACGAATCGAAATTCTGAGATGAAATATGGAGTGTGGACTTCGGGATCATAATCTCCAAGTTCGGCTGAAAAAGTATTGCAATGAATTAGTTCAAATAATTTAAATCATTGCTGGAAGGTAGAGCTTTTCAATGTTATGGCACATTCACCTTTTGCAATATAATTCAGAATGCATTTGTCAGAAAATTTGAATTTTTGTGATGCATGGGATTGCTTTTGTGCACAAAAATGATCTTAATGTGGTTGTATATCCAATATCAGCAATCGTTCGTACTTTTTTCACAATGATACTATAAACAAGTTTCATCATTTTATGACAAGTTACATTTTGAAAATTTTCCGGAAAGACATTGATATTTCACGACAAACTCTAAATCATTGGTTCTCAAATAGTGGAGCATGAAGCTAATTACAAATAGAAATATTAGTTAGATCTTGCCCGCCTTATTTTGGATATTTACATTTCTTCATTGTTTAGAGATTGCCGCGAGCTCATCTTTCATGAAACAGTACTTCAAAGAAATATACTTTTCAATAATACCTTCCTCTAGCAGGGAGAAACTGCAAGGGGCCGATACAATTGAATTGTTACAAGCATACACGTATGCTCAAACTGTGGGAATGACCCATTAATGGGCTCAGATGTCTGAATTGAAGACTTGTACTCTAATATAAATTATTTAGAAACAAAACTAATTTTCACAAAAATATTTTCAATCAGGTTTTTATTTATATTTATTAAGATGTCTTCAACATTTTATTCAACAGTCTTATTGAATTTGATAAGGAGAGTTACGAGCAGTTTACAAGCAGACGGTTTTGTCTATAATCCAGTCAATGCTTTGTGGAACAAACTATAAAGCTGCGTCACAGAATGTCACATGAGACGGCACTAAAATAACAAGTTGTTTAGTCAAGCATGACTATCCAGAATTAGGAATTATATTCTCACTTTACAGCCGATTTCTGAACATTAACTTTCCGGGACATTTTGAAATTATCGAAACTTCCAAATTTTCTCAAACTTATCCCTTTTTAAATATCAGTTCACTAAACTCCAACTACTAAAATCAACTTCAATAAAATTTCAGATTAATTTTTCTTAATATATCCACAACATTTTCTGGAATTTATCTTTGCCAGATGTATTTGATATTTCATAATCTATATTTTCTCACAATTTATTCGAAATAGTAAAATATTCAGCTTTGGCAATTACTGAATTCAAATATAGATTTATCTTGAACAGTGGACACCCCTTCTTTCGATGCTAATAGTAAAACACAAATAGATCATAGGGTCAAGCCATAAAATATGAATTAGTACAGTATTATTAGGTATTTCAAATAAATTCTCTCACAATATTAATACATGAATATGTTTTACAATCATAGTCCAAAAAGATACAATCCAGGCTATTAATTTAAAACTAAATGTTAATCATATAGAAGTGATTTATGCTATTTTGCTGACATTAGTTACTTAGTGTACCTGTCTGTACATCTCTATTATTAGCAATTCACCCATGACCAATAATGTCTGAATAAATATGTAATTAAGTTGACAATGATTAAACTGTACTACAGCAGATTTTCACTAAAGCATCATGCTTCTCTAATCGATAGATGGAAATGGCAGGAAATGGCACTGGCTCTGTTTAAACTTTTGTATGACATTAAAAATGAAATCAACAGTTTGGCTCAGTGATTCCCACCCTTTTCATCATGTGTTTTCCAATGCCCATTCTGATCCAAAATCCAGACATTACTATATTAAAAAACTCAAGTAACTAAATATTTTTTTAGTATTTGCCATTTTCTTGCTGTGAAATATCGATTCAATGATATGGCTTTAAGTGAAAACACTAATGACAATCTGTGGTTGGGTAATCAGATAGACATTCAAAAATAAATGAACCATTCAACTAATCTTCCAACAGAACATTGACACTGACAAGGAAGACAATAATGACATTCCGCCCTTGGTTAATTTATCAGATAGACATTTGAAAGATTGGCACTTACATTGTAAAGAGAATGCGGCAAGTTGAACAGAAACATCGAATGGACAGAATAGTTTTCCTGATAAAATATCGTGCTTGAGTTGGAGAAAGAATTGATATCTGAAAATATATTAGGGTTTAAATTCCTTTAGGATTTACAACCTTTGAGATCTGACATGAAATTGGCATTTTCTGAACAATAGTTCAAGCTAATTAAAATTTCCCATCATGAAAAGTAATAAACCATGCATTTTTATTTGAGTATTTCAGTTTTATAATGTATTGTCCGTTTTTGTCTTATTTAACATGTAATTGGCAAAAAATACATTATAAATATATGAACTACATTTTCTTTCATTCAACATGATATTGCTATTGAAATAGTCAGAGGATTAGATCATGTCTGATTATCTGCAGTATTATTACAACACAAATAAATCTGTTACTAGGCAACGCATTAGTATTCTTGTATCTATAGAGGCATCAATCACACATACTTCTAGAGAAAATGAACTCCCCTGCTCACGCTTGATGAAGCATGACACGGCATAAAAATAGTATTGGAAAACTCAATTTAGTTTATAAGAATAGTCGGCAAATCTTAAAAATTATTTAAAAATTACCACAATGACAGATATCATGCTAAAGGAGACCAATTCACTATCAGTTATTTTTAGAACAAAAGTGCTGTACTAGACAGTGCTGGATTGTCTTTCTTGTTGTGTTAAATGACATAATTTGAGCAGAATTTTGAGATAAAAAAAATCCTAAATACACGCAAGAACATAAAATTACATGGCCGAAAAGTAATCATAGCTGATATTTCATGAGATATGATTTTATTTTTATGCACGCAATGACTTGTTATCAAACATGATAATTAATGATATCTCATTAAGTTTGTGTCTGAGTTGTTAAAGCAAAAGACTTATAGAAAACTATATTGCTATCACAGGCAAAAACCTTGGGTTCAAACCCCATGCCCACACCTCGCCCAAGAGTGTGATAAATTGGGTGAGCAATGCTGAATAGAAAAGATTTCTGTCATTCCAAACTACGAAAGCTTGTTACAAGCTTTGCACGAAGCCGAAGACTTCTTACGCAGTCTTGTCAGAAGCCAGTATGGGCAACACTGGACTGGTTAATTTTTCTATAATTGCCCTAATAAAGTAAGTGATAACAATCAAAGCAGTGGAAGACCTCGCACTATAGTACTATACTAAGTTAGTATGCTAGACGTCACTCACTATTGTATTACCGCAGGAATATTCAGTCTAGATTTGTCCCCCTAAACCCAGGCAACTCTACCTGCCTCAAGTTCCGTTAGCAGTAGCACAGTATACAATCACGTTATAAACTAATGGTTGAAAAAAAATAGAAAAAAGGCGCTCTGGAAGTATTCGTACCAAGATGACGCACATCCTGAACAACCGTAACTTGGTACACATACTAGGTTCAGGGTGTGCGCCATCCTGGTATGAATACTTTGGGAGCACCAAAAAAATACAGAGACAAAACAGAAAAGATCATCTGACCTTGTAAGTTCTTCTTGAAGCATATTTGGTTCTGATGAATAAAATTTTACACGAAAATGGAAAGTATAAGGTGGTCCAATCTTTACTTGCTTTTTTACTGATTTGGTCTTGTCTAACCAGTGTGGAACCTGGAATAGAATTTAACATTAATAAATTAAATTAGGTATAATATAAATGCATACAGAGGGTGAAGAAACAGAACATATGAATTCCATAATCACCGTACTGCTATGAAAATGAAGAAAATTAATTTAACACCTGAACTTCTGTCTGTGTATGATTGTACCCAGGAATTTATGATGCTTTGCACAAAAGTTCTCCCCAGAATATGTCCCAATGGGTTCTGTTATATCTGGGTCACCCAGTATATATGGAGCCAAATCAAAATTGAATATATTTGTATCATTCTCATATCAAATCAGGCCCGTTGGGTAATGAAATCTGGCCCGCCTGACGCTGACACAATCAAACTAAATCCAAATTGATGTTTTACCTAAAAAAAAAGGCTCAAGGAATTTGTTGAGATTGCAATTAAATTTAGTTTTGGCACAAGGCTCATTGTTTTCCACTTTTGCTTTTGTAACACTGTGAATATTGTTCATAAAATGTAACTTTTTTCACCAAACTTACATGGCCCGCCTGTCTAGATGGACAAAATATTTGGCCCTGGTCCAAAATACGTGCCCCACCCTAAAATAGATTGAAGTTCGGCTTTGAACCATAATTTAGAAATCCACCCATTAACAATCAATTTCTTGGTTGTATTGGACAAAACTTCGACACCATGCAAAACCAATTTGAAGAATTATTTGTCATAGTAAAAAAATGTACAATTGTCACAAATAGGAAAGTTGAACATTCTTTTCCTTATTAGTCATAATACATGATTTAATAATATAAATTCCTTAACATAGTTTATAGTCTGCGAAAATATTGCGTATGCAAAATGGGAGTCATATAAGTTATAACCAAATAAATTTTAACTGAAATTCCATATAGGAATTGGCAATAATGATGCAGCAGAATTTCAACTATCCCTTCTATGAACAGAAAATTTAGTCCGAACAAAATGAGTGATAATTTTGAGAATTAGGCTAAACTATATTTCAGTTTTTTCTTTACGTCAATTCCCACAAAAATATAAGTCAGATATTGAGTTGAAATTTATAATTGCAAAAAACAAGGTAACCAGCACTCACTTAAATATAACAGAGATTGATCTCTGAGAGAAGTTACAGGTAATGAATGAGGGCTCTCCAGAAGTGTGTGTACCAATATGGAGGTAACTAATTTTGTTCGTCTACTTTACATCAAGTTGTGAAAAGGGACTGAGCTATGGGTAGGAGGTATATTCACTTGGCTTACACAGACAGTCCCCAAAATAGAACTAAAATAAGGAGAATCGGAATAAAATTATGGCCTAACCCTAATCTGGTTGGTACACACACTACGAGAGTACCGAATAAATTGCTAATGCTACTGAGGCTATAATTCGTCATTAAAGTTCCGTATTCTGTGTTAGTAAAAAATGATAGACTCCAGACTCTGAGCAAGTCATGTCAATACGGCCAGGTAATAGCATAACGGAAATAAGGTGGTGGATTCCACATAACTGAATGTTGTTGGGAAAAAAATTTGGGCATAATTGGACAACAAATGACTGAGTTTCGAATGTTATTTACTGTGAATTCTATATAAATCCTACGAACTTTAGCAATTACAGTCACAGTAAAGAGTTGAAATATAACACTTATTGCATTACCAAATCCTTTCACATTTCATAACAAATGAATTATGCAGACACTGCCTGGGGGCAAATATTATGGTTTGACCACTGGATAACAATTACAAAATGTCTCTCAAATTCACAGAAACAAACAGCCTTTCACAGGCGTATAATAATAAAAAATATTCGAGGTGCACTGAATACTAAAATACCTATGCACCACTATTTGAATTAAAGTCACATTCATTTTTCAAGGAATTTTTGAAGAATGAATAATGTCATACATATATTATGTAGAACTAGTTAGTAAACATTTTTAAATAACATTAGATCATTTTCAGTTCAGCTATTAGATCATTGTATAAAAATATTCATGGTATACCTTTGCCCACCAATTTGAAATTATGGTTGAATAAAGTTACATTCATCCCACTATTTCAATGCATGCAGTTTCGTAAACTATTTGAAGTATATTCAACAAAACCTAATTTCATTATAACAATCCAATGCACTTTTTGAAATATAGATAATAATACGAATAATAATAATAACATGAATTACGACTGGAAATTCTTATCAGACTACCCGGTATTATGCCAGTCACGCCTATGAAAGCCCAAAACAAGTTTCATTCAAAATGGGACTTTCCTAGTTTTCAAAATTCCAATGCTAAGGTTGTTCAACTTAAAAAAAATTCTATTCCAAAACCTTATTCCATTCAATTCATAAGGTAGACTTGGAGTTTGTCTTCAATGTTCTGAATTTTATACTGGTAAAAACTAGTTGCATCCAGATTAAACTACCTGATTTGCATCCATGAATTGTAAACCAAAATAATCTTCTTCAACTAAATCTAGATGAAATCGAATCACTTGATTGTATAGTTCTTCGCCAAGTGCCTTTTTCTGAAAAATAAAATAGCTTTGATAATATTTTAAAATATTCAAGAATACACCTAAAATGATTGAGTGAACTTCAAAGCTAGATACTAATTTTAAATTTGACAAATTCATAGATGTCGACATGTCATGGGGTACTCCCGTAGTGTGTGTACCAGGTTAGGGTTAGGCCATAATTTTATTCCAATTTTCCTTATTTTAGTTTTATTATGAGTTTGGGGACTGTCTTTGTTAGCCAAGTGAATATACCCCCTGCCCATAGGTTTCAGTCCCTCTATACAACTTGATGTAAAGTAGGCGAACAAAATTAGTTATCTCCGTATTGGTACACACACTTCTGGAGCGTCTATCATGGAGTACCGCTTAGTATGTAGGTGTCACATTTTAGTGTTCAATAAGCTTCGCCATTAACGTATGCTCCCATAACCAAGCTGGGTTGGCAATGCTTAACTAAAAGCTAATACAGGGTGTCCATGAAATCCCTTTACATTTTCAATTTTGTTATGAAGTCAGTTCTCAATATATCTTAACCAGATTTGCTGTTTTTAATCAGTAATTGTTCAAGTATTTTTACTTCATTTGATACATCGGTGAAGGCCAAAACACTATGGTATGATAAATTTCCTTTCCAATTTTTAAAATTATCAAGACTTTATGGACACGCTATATTTTCAAAATATAAACAACTCTTGACATAGCAATGTTGAAAGCAATAGTATAACAAGTAACACAAAACATAAAAAATCACTAATAATTTTGGGCTAAAGCAAAATTTTTGATAAATTTTGTTCAACTCATTCAAAATTACTCATGACACAATTTTCCAACATAAGAAACACTTTTGTAAACAACTGATGTTTCTCTCGCTCAAGGAAAACATTATATCAAATGAAAACATTCATGTATTTCTCTCGCTATCTACAATCCGAATTATAGTAATTTTGTCTCTAAGGACCTAAACGAGACAATGAGAAGCGGCATAAGTCGTATACTTATTTTAAAAATTTTCAGCATAACCATATTATATCTCACCCTGACATCGACTGTGATATCAGTTCCATCCAGTAAAACAACTCTAGTTGTCAATACATCCTTTCCCTTTGTTCCATCTGGTGCAGGGATATGTATTCCTGAGGAGGAGGCCTGTGATCTTCCAGTCGCATTAGTATGAGGCCTCCTTCCTCGTCTACTAAACGTCCTTCGCAGTCTTTTCCACATGATTTAGTCCAAGACTGGCCCAATAGGGCTTTCTTCGATGTTAAAAAAGTAATAAATAACACCGCCTTGTGTTGCCCAGATGAAAACAGATTGAAGTATTATTTACCTAAAGTTCCATTGAATCTACATAAAGATTAATATGTCGTTATTTTCAAACACAAATACATGATCGTTAATAGGTGTTATTTAATCTAAAACTATCGACACATGAAAACTAACTAAAAAGAACTTTAAATCTTTAATTTTGAAAAAGTCACAAACTAGGTATATTATTTTTCTTTTCATCCTGACAAATGGACAAACTTGTAGTCAATTTTGTTATTTACTCACACTCATTAAATACATAAGCAAATTTTAATAGTTAATTGAGTTTCTGATGTGGTTTAATCTATAAATGCTTTAATTCTTTACAAAAAGTGCAAAATATTTATACCTTCAAACAATAGCAAAAAACAAGCTGTAAAGACTGCAATATTAAAAAAAAAACGTTCAAATTTTATTAAAGAACTAAAATAGAGGTAGTATGTTTCATGTGCCGATAAATGCTAACAAATTGAATAGTAATTTTGATAAGATATAGGTAGCAGTAGCAAAAAATTGATTATAATGAGATATCAAATTGATAGAGTAATATCAACCAGGACAAATGATAAAAATAACAGGTTATCTTTCATTTTGTGTTGTATCACTGTGTCTATATAGGGAATGCTCGAGAAACACGAAACCAAAAGTTAACAGCAAGGAGCACTCGAGCAGTAATTTTCATTAAGTTTAACATATGTTTTAAGCCTCCGAATTCATAGGGAATAGGGTCTGTATATAAGAATAGGTATGTATAAACCAGGGGCTCTCAATCAGGGGTTCTGAACACTTAGAAAAATGTATAGTTAGATTTTCATGAAGTAGTATATTTTAATATTCACATTCAAAGCCTAATGTGGAGCATGACTTAAGCTACTGCCTGTCTCATATTGCTTCTCGAATTGTGAAAAACTATTTACAACTAATAGGCACATCCTCCACACTAAATATTGTATATAATGTTTAAAATAAATTTTGTTATTATAATTTTTCGTTATACCATTCACAATTTCGAACATTCGCCAAAATATTATCGCTCAATTTGGTAACAGCTTTCTAGAAGTTTGCATTATAGTTTTGTGATATAGGGGTATGGGAAAAAGGTTGAGAATCCCTGGTAATAAAACAAAATTTGCAGTTTCACAAGGCACTTTATAGGCTATATAATTGAATAAATCATAATATAATGACACCTCCATGATAATAATCTACCAATACACCAAAAAACAAAATTTTAAGCTAGTTCAAAACTGGACATAATAACATGCAAAATCATAAGCCTAGAAATACTTATACAAAACCGGAACATATTTTCGTATACAACAAAAATTATGTTATTTAACTAGTATGCTAGATCTAATGCTGAACAATAATTTTTCATTAATCAACTCTGAATCTATGGAAAGATCACATGAAATTCGGTTCATAAAGTATAATCACAAACGAAAAGAAATCAGTCTTGTATGGAAAAATCAATTGGAGAGAAAATCCAAATACCACTGTATGACAAGCCTTTATGGCTATAAGTATCATTCTAATTCAATCATTCTAATTCTAAAGATATAACAGGTAGCAATGTGTCATTAATTCACAAATTGGAATACTAAGAACACATAATCAAATTCAATCAATATTGGTTTTCCACAATTAATCACAAACAACATTTAATGTCTTCATTTTGAAATCTACGATTTTGTTGCTTTCCATCCACATTTATATTGGTAGAATACCAAACTGGGACACGGTGATATACACCAACATGAGAAGTAATCCCAACAGGCCAAATACTCCGTAATTTCCATTCAGACGTTTCTTTGGATCTCCAGTGTAATACCCCCATGCATAGGAGAATCGAGAGGTCACCCATACAGCACCCAAGATGGAGGCAATTTTCGGGAAAACGAATGCTACAGGCACAAACACAGAGTAGAACATTGGCAAGGCTTCAAGGGTATTGTGGTGAGCTCTCTGGTAGCAGTTGAAGATAGGATCCTTGTCACTGTACATATCTGGATATTTGACTTCATACTTCTTTCTCATTTTGCCAACTTGCATCACCAAGTAGATCAGCATTATGTTGGTGTACAGAATCACCATCAATGCGTATCCATGGTCGGGTGTTAGGAACTCGATACCACCCATTTTGGTTCAAGGTTATCTCGTAATATATAATGACTATGAATTAACTAGACTGTGCAAAATATAACACTTTAAAGGTTATTAGGATAAGGTGGTTTTCCCAGATTCTGTGAAATCTGACCTAGCAATGCTAACCCCATACAGCCCTAATTTTCACAAGATTTTCTATGTCCAAGAGTTAACATTTACCGTATATGCCAACTCAAGTCAATCCTGTAACCACTGAAACAAAGTGTTACCGTAATGGTTTCGATAACTGCCTTTCTTGTATTTTATAGTAGGCCTACCATAACCACAAAATTATTAGCAAACTACCTCGGTTTGGTAGCCAATTGGACTAATGATAAAAATCTCATTGAAAATACCCTCCCCCCCCCCCCTTAATACAGAGTAAAATATCTTATAACAGTACCGTATACCGGTAGTTCAGTAGTTTATGTCAGTATGTACGTACGGTGGAATTAGCATACCGGTACCGGTACCGCAGTGCACCCAGATGCCCAGACATTGACTAGTCTGCAACAGTTGACAGTGCCAGACTACTGGACTATTGTCAGTCAGATTTTAGTACCAGATGCCGGTACGGTACCAGTACCGGTACCGGTACCGGTACGGTAGCAATAAACCCAATGCTTCATGTCGCGGTGTCGAAACAAAGTTGCCGTGCTTTATTTGATCTTATCTACTTTCCTCTCTCACAATATAAATGAAATACCGTATTCTATTGAAACGCTAAACGCTATTCAAAAAATGCTAAAAGCTCAAAACACAGCCTTACACAGGTACCGGTAGCCTACCGGTACGATACCCCCACCCAAGCAGCCACTCGGCGGAGCTAAGTCATGCCACTACCACTATGCGATTCTTTTTTTTTTTTTGCCAAATTTTATTCCAGAGTCAATATGGAATTATTTAATTATGTTTTTGATGCCAATTAAATTTTCAGTTTTTGTTTTATACAATTTTTTTTTTTTTTTTGCGATTCTGTGGGCGGAGAGGCTTCATTCTGTCATTGGACATAGCTGAGATACAAGTATATGGGTTCCATGCCGGTGCGGTTCTGTTCTACCTGTACAGCAATTGTTTTTGAGCGTATATTCAGATATTTACGAAATATCCAACCTATGGTACCGATATTTGTTAATATAATCGTTACCATCCATTATCAGTTAATCGATTAAATATTCCCAGCCCTAGCAAAGACAACTGTCCAGGATGCTTGAGAACGTCATATCGATCAACGTATATATTCACATTGGGTACCCCATAGTATGTGAACCAAGATGGCGGACATCATTTCAGGTTAGGGTGGGGATTTCGGGGCCAGTTTGTGAAATCCCGGTATCGGGATATCCCGGGATTGAGCCGTATAATCCCGGGGTTTTTGGGATTAAGTAAAAGATTGAAACAACTTGCATGACAATAAAATCACGTAGGCCGCGAGCCGAGGCCATTTATCTTTCAGTTTCGTAGCGCACATGAGGTAACTACCTGAAAATGATTTTAAAATGTTCCTTAGAAATTTAGTAACAAATATTGCCTTGTTCCCACTTCCAAAAGTTGCACGTTTTACAGAAAAGACGCTTTTACTACAATAAATATGTGTTATCATCTGTCCTATTTTCTCTGCTTTTCCGGTATCATGGGCCAATGAACGCAGACTTCTGCATGTCGCTTTTGCGTTGAGTAGCCTTTTTATAGTTTTTTTTCAGTTATTATTAGTTCAGTTATTCTAAGGAGGTGTTGAAAAGTATAGGTAAGAAAATAAACACTTGTATATCCTTACCATAAATAGCAATTTTGGTTGAGCACTAGCTCATAAGACGTTGTTGAATAGGTACGGTGCGGTAACAGGAAGGCTAGACCTAGAATAATATGTCACAAACAACGATATTTTCTGGCTTGCATGAAATGTTTATGATTAATTTAATGACTCTTCTTGACTATTCAGCAGACATATACTACTATATAGGCCACAGCATATTTGGAAATAGAAATTAATGGCTGTTTCTTTAATGCACGGTTGTGTGAAAAAGAAGAAAATAATCAATTTTACTAATGTCGGTTGGTCTAAATCTAAATTCATAGAGTCGACAAGAACCTGGGAAGCAATGATAAGTTATGCCGGAGTGGAATGAAAGTAGCATTGGAAACGATTGAGAGGTGAGAAATCAAGTTGTAGACAGACAGTTGATCTTTAAAATATAGGTAGTCTATAGTCCATACTCATACTGTCATAGGGCATTTCAGACTGTGATATATCAAAATTCAGTGTAGATATAGTCTAGTAATGGTATGCAAACACTGCTGGACTGTAGTACATGCAATGAGCATATATACGCTCATTGGGTACATCAGATAAAATGCATTATGTATTCAAGGTATTAGTTAGTATTTAGTGGTATTTTTACACTCATGCTGTTCCAAATATGATTTTCTTCCTCATTTTAGATACTGTACTACAAAAGAAAACGGCAATGTTCCACCAATCCGACCTAACGCAGGCTCTAATCCCTGCTGCTATCAGTGCTATAAAATGGATTAAACAAGAAGTCTTGAAGCGTAAAAGTATATGAGAATCATAATAGTTGCGAACAGCTTAGATGGGCTATTCATATTGAAATACTTTAGCACTTTCCTGCAATTGGAACTGCCCATCAAACTCATGTTGGAGACTTCATTGAGGTTTTCAATTCTTTTTTTTCTCAACTATGAAGATCTTTCGAGGTTAACGAGGCATCAATAAATAAAGCTGAGGAATTTGTTTGTTCACTGTATGAAGAGGATATGAAGAATGTAAATGATACCAGGGCACGTCTATTTAACACTGACAAACATAAGGATTATACTCCACCACCCAACAATGATTCACTGAAGAAGCATGGGCCCTCAAATCAGTTCATGAGTTGGCAAACTGCAAGTGTAAGAAACAGAGTCAAAATAATTTATGCAAGTGTGCCAAAATCAACTTAAATTGCACAGATTTTTGTTTTTGTTCGTGCCAACCATTCGTGTTTTTTATACCAAGTTTCTGCGCAGAATGTACGCCGACGCTTTCCTCCGTCATGGGATTGTTCCAGTGAACAATTTTTTGGTTGATAAGGCCCAAGACGTTGTACCTCTAATTTTTGTTCCAGCGGCAGCTGCGAAAACGGAGTGCGAAGTAGTGCATCAACCTTATTCATTATGAGGTCTAAGGCTAAGAAATGCGAAGCCGGAAAGGAGTGAGGAGCTCAAAAGGAATGTGGAAAATCGAAAGCAAATGGACTAAAGGTCTCTAACTGATTCAAATAGCGAAACAAGGCGAGGAAACTATCAACTCTTCAAGCAACCAACGAACGAGAAGGAATGCGTGAATATGTCAACACGTTGTTGTAAGAAACCTCGGCATTGTGTCGTCATAATTTCAGGGCTTGCCCCCGATGATTTAGTAAAAGAAACAGAAAAAAACGAGACAAACGCGGCGAGTGGAAGATAAAAGAGAGAATACGATATACAATGAGCAACCGGGGCAAAATCGGCGTCGCCCCGTCGACGTTCGGTGAAGGCTTTGCAAGTGAAAAATGAACCATGTCGGGAGAATATGGCTAGTGTAGACAGTCTGTGCAACCGATATTGAGGTATTTTTCGAATATTTTTTATTATACCGAAAAAACAACCGGGGCATTGCCCCGGTTGGCCCTATTGACGCGCCGCCACTGAGAAATGGTGCAAATATTTCGATCAGTCTACGAACATCACATGCCACTCCGAAATTTTAAGGATTGAACTGTTTTTCTTTGCTGTTACATCCCACAATGTCAATGTAGAGAGAGTCTTTTCACTGATGCAAAGTCAGTGGACTAAAGAGAGAAACAAGTTGCGACTATAAAAGGCATGTTGACTCTCCATTATAATTTCAAAGATATGCACTGTAGTGAATTGTTTTCATTTTTGAAATCAGACAAGAAGAGAATTAGATCTTCAGAAAAATATGCATGGTCAGAAGAGTAAATTTGTAGTGATTGTCTTTAATTTGTTTTAAGCATGTAATTGCTGTTCTTCCGTTTTGGCACAATCTAATTCTCATTCTTATTTTTCACTCTGAAGTTGAGATTTTTTCAGTCGACGGCCCGTAGCTATATTTAGAGTGTGCTTACCTGCCTGGTGTGAGATTCTGCTTGTGACTGAAGACAATACTTTTCATTTCGGTAGCTGGCGCTTTAGCATGAGTATCGTACAACGTTAGCATTAGTATCGTACAACGTTTGCAGCCTTAGCATTTCGGTAGCGCATATATATGGTCTCATGAAAATAGGGACCTCCAGAAAGAAGTATGCGCACCAAGATGGCGCACAACCTGAACATAGTTTCTGTGTACCGGTTAGGACTAAGGTTGTGCGACATAGTCATGCACTGTCCGGAATTTTGCTTCTTCAAATATGATAACCCTAATCTAGGACAGTGGTTCCCAACCTTTTTGTATCGCGGCACAGTATTTATCTGTTTCCATATTCGCGGCACACCTATCACAAAACACGAACATTTTCTACTCATAAAGGGTGCGATAGTCGAACGCGAACAAATTGTTAATAGTTAACGATATTACAAAATATTAAATCAGAATATTTTTATGGAAATGAAAATTGCCTTCGAAAAGGTGTAACACGGGCCATTCACGTTGAAAGAAGTCCCATAGTATGTGAACCAAGATGGCGGACACCGCAAAGTAGAATGTGTACCAGGTCAGCGTTAGGCCATAATTACAGGTACAACACTACGGGAGTCACTTGGCTCGTAATAAAACTAAAATGAGGAAAATTGGAATAAAATTATGGCCTAACCCTAACCTGGTACACATACTACGGGAGCGCCTCTCATTGTTATGCATATATATAACAGAGCCATCACAAATTCCCTCAGGTTTGTTTATTGCACACGAAATGTGGATACGAATCGTTTCATTATTATTATATTATTCTTGTTAATCGTAAAAACATTGAGTCGAGTGCGCCAGGTAATTTCAAATATCAACGCTCATTTCCCTTATGCCAGTACACCGCGAACCACCAGTCAAAATAGGATTACGATATTTATATTCAATAAAATTCATGGGTAACATGACTGATAAATACAAATTAGTAGCCTAACTGGTTTTTGTAATGTACCTTAATACGACGGTACATTTACAATACTTGATACACTTCGTAAAATGTTTTATTTACAATCTTTTTCTCTGGCAAGTATGTAGAGGCGAATCAATTCAAATAGTCCTTTATGAATACGAAGGTGGACATAACTAACTCAACACTCAGCATTATATCTTCGTCGACAAGTGCCTGATCCAACTGAAGACCTTTCTTGATATTTTGTGCAAGTCTTTCAAGAGGATCAACAGTTGGTTTCCGTTTCTTCATCATAACGTATTCTCCAGTAGTTTGAAACGTATCTTTGATTTTTTGCAGAGACAGCTCTTTTTCGCTCACGATTTCTTTTAGCCATCTTTTAGATGGATTTTGTATTCGATCAAAAATCGGTCGATTTCCGTCAAGTGATTCAAAATTACACGGATGGGCTTCGATATCGACAAAAAATTGATCAATCATAGGCTCCAAAGATATGCAGGACGAATCGTTTTCGTGGATGTTGATCGACCTCGCCCTTCGAGAATTAAGGGCAAACGCAGCACAGATTCCACCAGGTTTTAAAACTCTCTGACATTCTTTTTCAAATTCCTTTATATCAAGAAAATGAATGGATGTTCCACTCGTGATGAGATCAATGCTATTATCTTCTACTGGAAACTTGTGGCTGTGGATAACCTCGAAAGTGATGTTTTCGGATTTGTTTAATAATTTTGCTTGCCTGATTTTGGCTTCGCTGATATCGACACCCAAAATGGATTGGAAATATTTAGAGAACATTTGTGTTGATAATGTTCCACATCCACAGCCGACATCAAGCATTCGCGCATATCTCCCATCTTGGTTATTCGCAGGACTTTTTTCTCTCATAAACTGCATTATTTCTTTCGGTACGGACGAACAATATGGTAATCTATATTTCCCATAAATCTTTGCCAAATTCTCGTCTTCATATACCCGAATCAGCTCAGTATCAAATAACCCCGGCATTCCGTTTCCGTGATTCATTATCCTTGAATTCAAAAGAAAAATTCCGAGATTTATTTTCAATAGTCAAAAGACAATGGACATAACTTCAGATAAGTTGACTTCGCTGTCGGCTAAATTATGCTTATAACTTTGATACTCCAGTAATATGTGAACCAAGATGGCGGAAACCGGAACATAATATATGTACCAAGTTAGGGTAAGGCCTCAAGTTTTTAACCTGGTACACATACTACGTTCCGGTGTCCGCGATCTTGGTTCACATACTACGGGAGAACCATCACGTTTTTGCATTCATTTGCAATTTAATTATATACTGATGGCAGGGTGGGGCAACTCATCTTACATCTTTGAACATCAAAAACCTTTGCCTTGATGATAAATGTCTTGTCAATGATTGAAGCAATTTTTATATTTAAAGCTTTGGTTGGCAATTGACCTGTCCCTTGAAATCAGTTTTTTGAATAATCATATTTTATACATACTTGACGTCAATTTAAGACATCGCCTTATTGCATGAATATAGAATGTGCATCTGTACAAGTGATAGCACTGTACGTAAGATAAATGATTCAGTATTTTTTTTATTTTATTTAAGCTTTAGCGAGGAAATAATGGCAGATGAACTGTAATAAGATGCGGCACTGATCCTTTTCAAAGCAAACGCCTGTGATTTTTGTAGTTCTGCGCCTCCAATAATTTCTATATGGTTCAGCATGCTGTACATTAAAACGTCAAATTGATTCAGACTTCAAACCATATGCCACAATTCTCCACTAACGCGACTGGACAATGTTTTTCTTTGGCTTCGTATTTGTTTTTGAATGAGGAATCGAGTCTCATAAAGTACGCACCCACGAGTACTTCTAGTGGGCGTAGCATGATGATTTTTGCATAGCTTGCTAAAATATAGCTACGATCGTCCGAAATGGCATCTGTGCTGACTATGTTGAACTCACTAACGCCAGCGCTCTCTCTCTCCCTTTATCGGTATCGTTACGACGAGAAAACGAGAGGAATAGCCCGCTAGATTTCGGATGATTGCCTGCGCGTTTTAGACGTCCATCCGTATACTTTGGAGCATTTTTCAGTGACCTAATTTTTGGATGACGTAGTCAGGTAATTAATTGCATTATACGCGCATTCCAATTTGAAACACATCGTTCGAAATAAACGCAGTGTATTCAAGTAACCAACTCACGAAAACCGGTGCTCCCGAAGTATGTGCACCAAGATGGCGCACAACCTGAACACAGTATGTGTACCAGGTTAAAGTTCAGATTGTGCGCCATTTTGGTGCGCATACTTCCGGAGCGACCGAAAATCATAGCCATCTACTTTCCATTCATTCTTCGAAGTTTGATGACTTTGATGAATGATTTTGGTGAAAAGATTCTCATAAAATCCTCTTTTCAATTCTAGTTCGAAATTCAACTGACTCATATAAAATATTCTGCTTAAAAAATTTGCGCCCCATTTCTCAACATTGAAAGTAGTTGACATGGTGAACACCTTCAGTTGTACAAATGATATTAAATTTGGTGCTCCAAAAGTCTGTGTACCAATATGGAGGTAACTAAATGGGCAGTGGGTATATTCTCTTGGCTAACGAACTCGTAATAGAACTAAAATAAGGAAAATTGGAATAAAATTACGGCCTAACCCTAACCTGGTACACACACTACGGGGATAATTAAAATTTATTTTATTTATGTTGAATTGGTTGCATCACCACTTTTGCCAGCAAGAAGTGCCCCAATGTATTTATCTTAGAGAGTCTTCCATCCCAGACACAGATTAATTTGCCAAACTATCAAAAAATGAATTATGAGGATGAAAGAGAGGCTGTTAATCTTTTATATCAAAGAGTTTCAGTTTAGTCAAGACTCCAAAGGCACTGACATCATGAACGTATGCCACAGCAATACTACTGTTATACAAAACATTTGAAGTTGGTCTTGCTAGCCTCGTCTTGAAAGATATTTCAACGCTAATCTTTACTAATATTAAAAAGAAGTTCTGGTAAATTATTTTTTCCTCTTACCTTCTCCAACTATCTGTCGTAGATAACATATTTTTTGATTTATCATAGATATAGCCCCTGAAAACAGACAAAAATGTTCGTTCGATGCACGACATTATGTTATCTATACCTCCTTATCCGAAAATTTGAATTTTTTAAATGTACAGTACTGTATTGCTAGTATTTAATCTGCGTATTCCTGTACCAAACAAAATTGTTGCATGCAAAGATCTAATCGAACATGGCATTGACGTCATCTGATAAACGTGATCATTAAGGCATGAACAAATTAGTTTTCTTTGTTTTTCAACTTGACCTCTAAATCAATACTTGCATTATGAAATGTCGCACTAGTGACATTTACTTCAGGCTGTGATTAATCATTTGCGACTCGGTAAATTTCTTTAGAAACAAAGAAGTGTTGTTCGTCAAAATTTCGAGTCGAATGCGCGAGGTAATTTTAAATATTTTGACAAAGCTAGCCCATCTCACTTTTGTCATTATAAGATAGGATTCACATATTTATCCCGGGGAGGGGAAAGCCAATAAGACGGCTTAACCATATGGCGATCCACGGCCTCTCGCCCGGTTACCATTCCATGTCGAGTATGGGATTAGTTATTTGTTTTCGGAAGCATGGACTTGATGGTGGACCAGCGCTTACGTGAACCACCCTACGGCGGCGAAGAGTCCAGCAATCCTCTCGCCCATAACATCCCCGCATGCCGCATGGGATTCGAACCTGCGAACCCACGCAGAGTAATCAGAGGTGGGGTGGCGAGCGTCCTAACACTTAACACGATGGGCCCACCGCCGCGCCAACCGTCGGTGAATTAAATGATTCATTGCATAGTAATACATGAAAATATATGTAAATAAATTATGGAATTCCAGCATGTGTGCTCAGAACTAGTATTGAGTTTATTTGGATACTCCCGAAGTATGTGAACCAAGATATTTTAGCTCTATTGCGAGTTCGGAGACTAGTCTGGTGACTCCCGTGGTATTTGTACATAAAACTATTTATTAATATTAAATCCCCCCCTCCCCCAGAGAAGTCATCCGTAATAAATGCGAATAATATATGAAGTCTCTTTCGTGGCAGAAGAAGTGTTCAAAAGTTAATACCGAGGGCCTTAGGCTTCTAGACGAGGCGTATTTGTATCCAAACGTTGTTTTTTGTTCCGGTATGTAGAGCTGGGGACATTGTTTATAATTCGGGAGTCGGAGTGACGGCAATTTATCATTTTTTCCCTGGGATGTTTCCAGAGATAAGGCGGTCAGTTAGTTTGCGGATTCACGCCTTTAAATATCTTATGCGCATTATAGCCAATTGCATATCAACGTGTTTTTCTTGCAAAAAGTACACTAAAATGAACCACGATTAAAAACGGTATATCATATTATTTGCACAAATATTCACATATTCAAAGCAGAGCACGCGACAGTTCCAGATGAAGACCTATCATCCCGGAATGAATACACCTGTTCGAATCAACGTAGTATGCATAATGTAAATTTGTCGGGGTAATTAGCCTCGTTGTGGGCTACCAAGCATGACGTTGCTGATTAAGTAAGATTCTAATCCACTCGATCATCGTCAGTAACGGTAGCGCAGAGGTAACGTAGAGACCTGCTCAAACATCAGGCCAGGCGTGAGTACGGGTTCGAACTCCCAAAGGAAGGACCAGCAGGAAAGACAAAAATGGGGGGGAAAGCGTGCCGACGATCAAGAGAGCAGACCGAGCTGCAGTGAGTACCAGCAGGATAGACAGGTGGCCGAGGAAGGAAAGGTCCATGGGCAAGTTAAGCAGACTGCGTCGCAGAAAAGGTAGTCGAGGGAGGGAAAGGAACCCGACACGGACAAGAGAGCAGACCGAGCGAGCACGCAGGAAGGATTAGCAAGAGGGCCAGCTACGAAAGAGAATAAAAATGACGTAAATACTTGCCGATGAACAAGAAAAGGCAACCGAAAAGCAAGCTAAGTAAGTGACAGGGAGTCCGAGCAGCAGGGACAACTAACAGGGACAAGAAATTAAGGGAAGAATGAAAGCTGGACCGATTTCTAAGAATGCCGAGCAAAAAGGGAAGCAGGGTAAGGACGGACAAGTGAGCAGACCGAGCCGCAGGAAGCAAGAGAGCCAGTTACGAAGGAGAATAAAAATGACGTAAAACTTGTCGAGGCCAATCAATCAAAGTGGGAGTGGAAATAGAAACCAGCCATCGATGCCACTAAATAAATAAAGTGAGTGAAAATATAAACTCAGGCGTCCCAGGAAGATAGAGAAGAAATAGGCGGAATAAAAACGATAGCGGAGCAGTCAAGAAGTAAGGTCGGTCAGTAAAGTCAGAGAAGAGAGAAAAATTAATCAAGTAAATGAGCAAGTACTGAAAATTTAAGAATTAGGAAAATTTTAAGCAAGCAGCTTAAAAAAGTGAAACTAAAAAAGAAGACTAGAAATCAGTGAGGGCCAAGGACAAAAAAAACCTCAAATCTTGCAAAACAATCAATCAATCATAATAACTATCAGATACAACAAAAGAAAACACCGATTCCATACTAATATTATTTTTTCTATAATATAGGGCACCAAAGAATATAATAGGGGACACTAAAATTTGAAGTGTCAAGCGCCTGTAATATAAAATGCATGATCTTACCCTGGTCGTTTTAATCTCCGTATTCATTAGAATACCATTTTTGAATTCGGTACTTTTTTGGTCATGACTCTCAATTATATCACCGACTTAGTAGGGTGACCCCAGCAAAAACAGAGCCCATGTCATTTGTAACATATTCCGGGAAAACATAACTTTCGTTCCTAGATCAAAATAAACTTTTGGGTACAATCATACAAATACAGAAGTTCGAGTGTTGAATATATTTTTTTCAATTTTGTTGAAGTAAATAAGAAATTTATGAGTTCCTTATGTTTAGGTAACACTGAATAAAAATATTTACTTTACTCAAATGTTTCCATAACACATCAGTCATCAA